GATATAAAATTTAATAATAATAATAATAATAATAATAATAATAATAATAATAATAATAAGAATGCAATGGTAAAGGCGTCACCAGTCCCTCTTGTCCTTTTGGGGCTCTGGTTTACCTTAAGAACAGGCCCCCAAGACAGACGGAGCCTAAGGAATGAGAGGCATCTCTAAAAAGGCAGAGAGATGTTAACTTTGCATCTCTAAAATACCTTGGTATGTAAATGGGAAAGACTGAAGGTCAAAGAAGACGGGGACGGCAAAGGATGAGATGGTTAGACAGTGTCATAGATGCAACAAACATGTTCAGTGGTGTATCTCCAGTCTCCTTTTCCCTTCTGACATGTTACTGCCTGTGTCTTCCCCCCCCCCGCCCCAGAGAGAGGCCTCTCTTCACAGCCAAGTGACTAAAGGCATCTTTTCATGGATGGAGGGGCAGGAGGTGGAAGGGCAGGACCCAGGAGGACCTGGAACTGGCAGGACAGCAAGGAAAGGGCCCCTTCCTTTGAGCATCCAAACCTGGACATTTGGGATTTTCCATTGCCTTCAGTGGAAATCCACAGTGGGATGCACAGGAGGTTGGATTTTCATTAGATAGAAGGCCTCTTCCAACATCTAGGTACAGCAAGGAACTCTGCACATGCTCTGAGGAACCTGATATAGCCTTGGTAACGTGTACTTAGCAAGTGTATTGGTTTTGATTTGAAAATCTCTGTGCTGGGCGTTCCTCTCTCTCTTTTATTATAATACTTTCTATGAAAGTCTTCTTTCTATGAAGACTTCGCTTAGTACAATTTACCTCTTTGTAGCGGTTAAGTGTGTGGACTCTAATCTGGGAGAACCGGGTTTGATTCCCCACTCCTCCACTTGCACCTGGCTGGATGACCTTGGGCAAGCCGTAGTTCTGATAAGAGCTGTCCTTGAAAAAGAGCAGTTTCTGTCAAGAGCTCTCTCAGCCCCACCTACCTCACTGGGTGTCTGTTGTGGGGAGGAGAAGGTAAAGGAGTTGGAAAGCCGCTCTGAGACACCTTTGGGTAGTGAAGGGCGGGGTATAAATCCAATCTCTTCTCTTCTTCTAAATCTCTTAGCCATGAGCTAGACTGCAAGAAGTGACATTTTTCTGGGTTTCTACTACCCAGTTATTTTGTTATTTATCTAGTACTGTGCTAGAAAGATACTTTCTCAAGATGCTTTCTCTAGATGTTCTTGGGGGGGGGGGAGGTTCTGGGGCTGTGGCCACCAGTTACTAGGATGTTTCCGGGGAACCCTTGGTCTTCCGTAGTCTCTCAGCACTGAAAGTTGCTTTCCCTGTACTTCCTTATACTGGATCAAACTGTTGGTCTCTCACCATCAGTCTTGTCTGCTCAGACTGGTGGCAGCTCTCCACGGTCTGGGATGGAGGTCTTTCACATTGCCTGCTACAGTGGTGGCGAACCTATGGCACAGGTGCCAGAGGTGGCACTCAGAGGTGGCACATTGCCCCAGCCAGGCCCAGACCATCATTAAAGTGTCGAATTCTCGGCCAAATAATTTTAAGTAAATGAAAGCATTTGGGATTCCTTTCCTTACTTTGTTTGGATCATCTTAAGTTAATGTGTGAGTTGTTTTTTCTAAAGTAAAACCTCCTTATTCAGGTTAAATTGCCGTGTTGGCACTTTGCGATAAATGAGTGGGTTTTGGGTCACAGTCTGGGCACTCGGTCTCTAAAAGGTTCGCCATCACTGGCCTACTAGATTCCGGGGATGGAACTTAGCATCTGAATGCAGACGACCGAACAAATCACAGTTTGTTGTTATGCGTCTAAAAAGGATTTCCAACTAGGCTTGTAGCTGGTTTGTTAGTTGTGGCTCCTCCTTACTGTGGCCTGAGGTGACGTCTGAATTCTCCGGTTCCCATTTTTCAAGTCACACCGGTCCTGGGGGTAGACGGGAGGAGTGGCAAGAAGCAGACAAACCCAGGGTTTATGAGCCAAAACAACGCCTAATTTTCTTCCAGGATCGAAGAGGCCGTCATCAGGGACACGCCCCACAGCAGTGACGACCCCTCGTCACTCCTAATTCAGTACTGAACCAGGGTGTGCTGCAGTGACTAAGCGTGTCAGACCTTGACCAGGGAGGACAGAAGAAGGTAAGCCAATGCCGTGAGTGTGGGGGAGAAGAGCCCTGCTGGGTCAGACCAGTGAGGGTCCATCGAGTCCAGCCTCCGGTCTCGCACAGTGGCCAACCAGCTCCTCTGGAGGGCCAACACCAGGGCACAGAGGCCGAGGCCTTCCCCTGACGTGGTCTCCTGGCTCTGGGATTCAGAGGTTGACTGCATCTGAATGTGGAGGTTCCCCATAAGAACAACAGAAGAGCCCTGCTGGGTCAGGCCAACCAGCTCCTCTGGAGGGCCAACACCAGGGCACAGAGGCCGAGGCCTTCCCCTGACGTGGTCTCCTGGCTCTGGGATTCAGAGGTTGACTGCATCTGAATGTGGAGGTTCCCCATAAGAACAACAGAAGAGCCCTGCTGGGTCAGGCCAACCAACTCCTCTGGAGGGCCAACACCGGGGCACAGAGGCCGAGGCCTTCCCCTGACGTGGTCTCCTGGCTCTGGGATTCAGAGGTTGACTGCCTCTGAATGTGGAGGTTCCCCATAAGAACAACAGCCCTGCTGGGTCAGGCCAACCAGTTCCTCTGGAGGGCCAACACCGGGGCACAGACGTGGCCTCCTGGCCCTGGGATTCAGAGGCTTAGCGGCCCCCCCTTCCACAAGGACTGGGTGGACAAATAATTCAGGTGTTGTCAGGGCTTTTTTTTGTAGAAAAAGCCCAGCAGGAAGTCGTTAGCATAATAGGTCACACCCAACAACACAAATGCATTAGCATATTAGGCCA